TCTCTCTCTCTCTCTCTCTCTCTCTCTCTCTCTCTCTCTCTCTCTCTCAACACTGTAATGAAAATGGCTGTTTCATTAATGAAACTACACATGTTAAAGGACAGGGAGTCAAAGGCACGGGGTCTGTCTGGAGAGTAGAAATGAAAACACAGAGAAACTTCGTGCTTGTATGCCTAATTACTCCTGTGTTAACTTGAGACCTGGAGATTCACAAAGTTCTCAGAATCCATCTGCACTGGACCCACAGCAAGCACTGGACCATGGAATTGGGTTTTATTGATTAATTCATGGCGGTATACAAGCACAAAGTGCTCAGAGGCTTGGCTGAGGAAGCTTCCGGCAAATGCTATATAGATGGCACCAAATGATGGGAGATGGGCGAGGCCGTGTGGGAGCATGGCAGTCCTAAAAGGCACACTCCTCACCAAAGGAGTGAGGCTCACCCCAGGCTCTGAAGAAAGGATTCTAGTCATCCTGAGGGTCTTCCTTGTGCACTTGCTGTTCCTGTTGAGGGATGTGCAGCTGTTCTTCAGTCATGATGCAGTTTATTCAGTTAGAGAAGTCTGTGAGGTATAGGGATATGGGCAGGTAGATGGTGGTCCTGAGCTCACCTGTGCAGCATATGGGCTCTGTGCACAAGAATCTGAGACCCCTTGACCTGTCAGCCACAGAAGCAGAGCTTTGAGCATGGTCACAGACATCTCTCAGCTTCTACTCTTTGCTTTGATATGTCCTTGGGGCTGTGACAGGAGCTTGGAGACACAAATGGCAGGATGGAGCATGGTCTTTGTCTGGGTGAACACATGTGAGGCTGGCCTACACACCAACCTGACAATTCCCCTAGATAGCTAAACACGAAGTGATGTTTAGAGGAACCAAGGGTTAATATATTCCAACCAGTGTCAAGATTCATGACAACAACCTCAGCCTTCCCCTTTCCTGAGTCAACCAAGGGCCTCTAGTCCAAACTGAAGCCCCTGAGCTCAGTAACTTAACCAACCAGTTTTCAGGAATTCCTACTGGACTGACCTGGGTAAGAAATGCTCCCCATGACTGATCTCCATAAGATCGAGGAAGAAATGGACCATGAAATGCATAAAGACCCAAAGGATAGAGAAGAAGCTTTTATGGAGCCTAAGAGTCCAGTTCAACATCCGAATCTAGAGGGGCTTCTTTTTAGAAGTATAAATGAGAAAACGGATCAGCTCTGAGTTGCAAATCAGATGTGAACTTGGAAAAGTGAGTTGATCTTAAATTCAGCCTTGAGGAAACAAAACGAGAAGGAACAGGTCTAACATCACGTACGAGGTTGACATGTACCTACTATCAGTCACGTGCGTGCTTGAGGTCCTTCAAACCAAAGCAAGCATTTGGAGGAGAAGGGCACTCACATCCAACCCTTGAGTGGGATTCTTTAGAAAATGGAACTTGAGGTGAGGGTTTTAAGGCTAAGTGACTAAGGAGGGCGAGCTCTTAGGAAGAGGACAGGAAGGCTGTGAGGAGGAGGGCAGGGAAAGGGGAGTAGAGATATGTTGTAATGATAATGTTGTAATGTAATGGGGGCCTCAGCATGGGCCTCCAGGGACTCTGGAGAGAGAACTGTACCATTTAGATTGTCCTACTTAGAGGTAAGTGTGACTGAACCTCCTCATCCTACACCACCTAGTCTGCCAGAAGGGAGTGAGGTGAGGTGGGAAGTTTCCCAGGCATACATGAGCAAGTTGAGTTCCCACTGTCCCAGATGATATTTGTGTTCCCCCACCAGTAGAAGGGGAAGAGTTGTGTAGCCCCGAGGGAGAACTGTTAGATGTTGCCTTACAGCACCTGGCATGCCTGGTGGGGGGGGGGTGGTCCCTGAATGACAGGAGATGAAAAACTGCCTATCCAGGCTAATTTTCTGAATGCAGCTGCTTGGGGGAGGGGCTCCACACAAAGACTCCTCTGACAGGACCAAAGCAAGATGGGAACAGCCCCAGCCAACAATAGCACCAGGGTCCACGTGGGCTCCTCAAGAATGATGGGGCCCAGATCCCGCTTGGGTAAGATTGCCTTGGGGGCCAGGAACTCTTCTGACAGTCCCCCAGCAACTTTGATTGAATGACGGTCCCCAAGGTCCAGGTGATGTGCCTGCCATCCTCACTGCCTGCAAAGGGGCAAAGGTGAGCCTGCACACTTGCTGGCAGCCCGGTCCCCACAGGTCCCACTTCCCTTCCTTCCTTTGTCTGTGGGCTTTGAAATCACTGCTGGAGCTCCAGTGGGCTTGGGGATGGGGATGCGTGAAACAGCAGCCTGCCCTCCCTCCCCTGATGGCACTCTGGGGGATTTATGGTCTTGACAAACGGGACAGAGGCATCAGGGAAAGGAGCCAGGTACCCCCACCCCAATTCCCAGGGGCGACAGCTCCTGATCCAGGTGGGCAAGACAAGTTTTTTTCAAATGTAGACACCTGGAAAGATGAACAAAGAGCCAGTGTCTTGTTGTCGGTGATAGAAAAAGTCAGTATCTGAGGGGATGCTGCATTCTTCAGCCCTTATTTAAATAAAATTCTGCAGTCAGCCCCTGTGACTAGGTCCGGTGCCTGGGTTCTTGGCAGAAGCTCAAACAAACAAGGCAGGAGAGTAGCTAAGCATGTTGCCTCTTCTCCAGAAGGTCTGTGGAGCTCCATGGGAGTCAAGAGCTTGCAAAGTGAAGCCTGTACAGGGAGGGGGCTCCCACAAGTATTTGCAAACAGTGCAAAGAGCTTTCAAACAAGCTTAAGGCATGTGGCAGTGGACCTTCATCTCAGTTTGCTTACCTACAAGATAAGGGTGCTAGACCAGATGGCTGGTCCACTTAGGGCTTTACCTGCTTGCCAATAGAACACTGGGAACCCACATCCTAAGAAAGGGTACAAGTTCATTAGCGGGTTACTCGCTAGATACATGGCATGCATTACCAAGGGCACATGCCAAGGGGAGTGTACAATCCCTATGATAATCAGTAAAGTCAACTCCCAGCCCTTTCTCTTGCCCCATCCTTGAGATGAGTTCCTCTGGGTTGTGAGTGACATTTTGTTTTGGGGACCACTAGATCAGATGATCTGGAAGGGGCTCTCTGATGGGGAATCTGTGCAGACCTCAAGATGCAAGCTGCCAACACCACCCATGATGGCAGCAGTGACCACGTGTGGCTCTTAACACAACTGTAGTTCACATGCTCAGTAGTCCAGGGGGGGGGGTGGCAGCTATCATGCGGATCCATGCTGATTATAAAACATTTTTACCTTTGCACAAAGTTCTGTCCGGTGACCTGGTTAGCAAGTAGCGAAGGACTGGAGTCTAACATCAATATCTACCCACAGCATCATTTCCCCAAGCTGTTCCTAAGTAGCATGAGTAACACGGAAACATGATCTCAGGCTGGGGTGTGCCTCAGTGGGCAGAGTGCCTTCCTCACATGCATGAAGTCCGGGCTTCCAGCCTGGGCATCGCACAACCCAGGCATGGTGGTGCTCACCTGTGATCTTAGCACTCAGAAGGTTGAGGCAGGGGAATCAGAAGTACAAGCTCATCCTCAGCTAAGTAGGAAGTTCAAGGCCAGACTGGGCTCCATGAGACCATGTTTCAAAACAAAATGTCAACCCCATCTCACTTAGTCCCTACACAGCCTTGTGAGTTGTGTGATTTCAACCCTCACATCCTGTGGCTAGAAGATGAGTTAGGAGAGTGGGCTGAGGAGAGAAGGTGAGCAGGGGTGGGTGGGTGAGGAGTCACTCAGAGCTTATCAACTTCAAGTCTAGCCCCAGGTTTCCCAGCTACCCTCAGGGCCTCTCTGGCTTTCCTGGCACATACTAAGTGTGCACCACTCTGCCCCACAGATATGAAGGACGTTTCTGGCAGAGAGCCAAACGACTGTGCAAGCCACCCTGGTTGTCAAGAAGAAACTGTCTCCCCCAGCAACTTGAGGGGTTGGAGCCACGAGGGACCCTTGGGACGGCTTCATCAGAAGTGGCAGGTAACACTTTCCCTGGAGGTGAATCCAGCTGAGGGGCACAAAGGCATCAGGCTCTGGCATCTGTGTTGGAATAGTAGTAAATGGGCAGGCGCCAGGCCAGATCCAGAGGGGTCACGTGTGTGAAGGGCCATGATGAGGTTTTTATCTGTGAGACAATCGGTACCAATCTATGGAAATGGCATGGGGTAAGATGTCAAGATGCCAGTTCTGGGCAGTGCAAACATAGTCCCGGCCGGGCCAGGCAACAACAGGCCCTGTGTGTACAGGTACAGATCCTGTCTGGAATCCGGGAACGATCTGGGAATATACACACTAGGACTCCTGATGCTTCTACCTCCCCTATCTGTAGACAGGAAGTGAGCTCAGTTCTTTGCACAATGCTATCATTGTAAGGCTCTGGGGAGGAGGCAGTAGGGGCTGTGGTTGGTGTCGGAGCCCACGGATAGGATGATAGTTCTGTGAGAAGTACATGTCCAATGCTTGCCTTGGCAGCAGTGAGGACCAGGCTCAGAGGAAAATGTCACCTGAACTCACAGAGGCTACTTCCTGGAAAAGAGATGTTTCAAGTTCCCATCCCTGAGCAACTAGGACAAGTCAGTGAACTTCTCTGGGCCAACATGTCTCCTTCCTTGCACCCAACAGTGATGACACCAGACTTGGTCTTGCTTGCAGAGACTTGCCTGGGAAGAATGGAGCCATCTGTGAGAGGCTGTGGGGCCCATCTGGCCAGCAGTATCTGAATTACCATCTCTTCGTGTCTGGTTGTTGACTGGTTTGTTCAAGAGCTGACCCTGGGCTTTGTCCTTAGGACCCCTGGTGGGGCATTTACCCCATCTCTGTGTAGCTCCAGCACCCCCTACAGGCGAAGGGCACTTGCTCCACCCCTCTTCCCCTTTACCCTGTCCCCAAAGTCTCCTCTTCATGTAGAGAGGAAGATGAGGCCTAGTGTTTTGCTACTCAGAATCCACCTGATGCAGGGATCCACTCTTACTGTTGGATGGAAAGCTGCAGGTGGCAAAATGCTATTTTTATGAAAGAATCTCAAGGGGAAGGCTGGCTTGTAGAAAGATGAAGGAACTCAAGCCTACTTTTTCTCGGTTGCCCATGGCACTCATCTTCATCCCTTTGTTCCTTATTCAGTGAAATCAGCTACTAGGCTCAGTGATATCCTCTGTGGAGGACATCTCAGAGCTACATATGGGTTCGTCTGTATATCAGAACGAGAGAAAAGTCTTCCATACAAGGGCCACAGGATACTATATGACTATGCTTTCTCAGTGTGCCTTCATATGACAGTATTGATAGCATCTGTGCTTTCTAGACTCTTAGGGCATGCCTCTTCTCATTCCTTGAGAGGTCCTTCAATTTGCATCCCATTGTTGGGAACCCAGACCTCAGAGCCCAGGAAGGTAAAGAGCTATAGACAGAGGAGTCCCACATTGAAGGGACCCCATGTCAGAACCATGGCCCCTGCTGTCTGCTCTTCATTCTGTGTTTCCATGTGCCCCATCTTCATCTGTTCCCATCAGAGTTTGGTTCTAGAATTTTCCTTCATGTGGCATGGAGCTCCAGTAACATCCCTGATTGGCCTCTGCTGCTGATCTGTCAGGGAGCCGATGGTCATGGATGTCTGTGGGCAGGAGGTTGCCAGCAGTCACAGGTGAACGCTGACAGTTGTCGTCCAGAATGAACGTCTCCAGCTCTCTTCCCAAACAACTTTGGAATGGTGACTCCAGCTGTTTTGGGTGCTTACACCAGCCTAGTTATAGCCCTAGGCTCTGTGCTGTGCAGGTGGGAGGGCCAAAGAGAATCCCTGCTCTTGATAACAGGGAAGACAGGTTGGCTGGCTCCTTCTCCATCTTTGGCCACACTGAGAATGGCACCAGTGACCTGTTCACTTCCCCATGGATGATTTTGACTGTAAAGCTAAGACACCTAAGGTCTGGCCTATAGATCCAAATGCTCAGTATGTGATCACAGTGGCTTCTGGGTGCAGCCGTACTTTGCAGCATCCAAAGTAGCTAATGATGTTGGTTGTTAATACACATATGTGTGTGACAGTGGCATATGCAGAATGCTGAGTGAAAGAGAGACCGTGGTGACCAGTTCTCATGCTGAGAGGAGGAATCTAAAGCCACTCTTATGAGTCTTGGTAGGAGGTTCCCTTTGGAGAGCAGGGCCTTTTTCTGGAAAGGTGGGTGTGGCTTTCTGGCTGGGTATTGGGCATGTGAAGGAGAATGGCCAGGAAGGAGGAGTGTGGGGGAGAGTGTAGGAGCTGCCCTGTGGGGTGGTCCAGTTAAGGGTGCATCATCATCTAGCATGCTTATTGGATGTAGGCGCTTGTGCTGGTTTCCCATATAATACCATCACAAACCCGGTGCTTCCTATCCCCTCATGGTTCTCCCAGGCAACCCCGGAGCCTCATGCTCCCCAAAGGTTCAAAAGAGAGGCTTCTCCCTGTTCTTCAAGCCCCATGATCCTAGTTTCTTTGGTCTGTGGCCTCATCTTTCCAGTAGTTGACTCCATTTTTACACGGCCTTGTCTCCTGTATCACCATAGGTAGAGCCACCCTCAGCTTTTCACTTCAAGGACACCTGTTATTGTATTCAGGGTCCCACTAAACCTAGGGTCACCTCATCTTAATTAATTAATAAGTTCTGTAGACCTACCAACATCATTTTCACAGATCACCAGGGGTGTTCAGGCCTTTGTAATTCACTCCCATCCAATCTCACATAAGTGGTTGTAACTGTCTTTGAATGAACAAAGGGCATGGTATGTGTGGACATCAGTGTGTAGACAGGGACAGTAAACACATTTACCAGAACATTCCAGTTCACCTAAGCCGTAAGAACAGACTCAGAGCTGGGGAAACTGCTCACTAGGCGAAGTGCTTCCTGGGTAAGGGTGTAGGTCTGAGTTCAGTCCCTGATACCCAAATGAAAAGCCAGGCATGTAATCTCAGCACTGGGGAGATGGATACAGGAGACTGGCTAGGGTTCACTGAGAAGCCAGTTTGGCCAAATTGATGAGCTACTGGTTCAATGAGAGACTGTGTCTCAAAAGACAAGGTGGCAAGTAATTGCAGGGGACACTTGATGTTGATTCTAGGCTTTTACCAACATCTAATAACACTTGTACACGTGTGTGTGTGTGCGCGCGCGCACGTGTGTATACACACACACACACACACACACACACACTAGTCCCCACCTCCACCCAGCCTCAGCAGCAGGCTCTGTAATACTTTGGGATACAGGATTCTCAGACTTCAGGTAGCATTCCTCTCAGGAACCTTGGGACAAATCAGTGTCCCTTTCAAGAGAAGGCTGGGAGACTGGCTGGGAGAGCCATAGGCAGGGCCTCAGCATGCGGCTTTGTGGGCTGAGTAGACATTCAGCTCAACATTCCCCTAAAGTGTGCCTAGCCTTACCCTGTGGCCCCAGCCTTGGGAATTATGTAAGGCAAAAAAAAAAGAGCACCTACCCTCTGCAGGCCTTCCTAGGCCCACCTGGGAAGTGCTGGCCCTGCTCATGGGCGTGCATGCACTGGCTTGACCATGAAGATACAGGGGTCTTAGGATGATCAGAGCAGCCTTAGAGCGCCACTGTCTCTTTGATCTCTTGAAAAGTTCCTCTCAACCTAGAGGGAGGCTCTGTATCCACCCAGCAGGATGTCTGTGAGGTCCTAGACAATCCCCCATGTCCTTCCACTTGGGAGTAATCTACTCTCTATAGTCCAAACTCAACAGTAGCCTGCCATAGCTTTGGTACAGTCCCAAGAACAAAGTTGTAGGCTAATGAATAAGACCAGGTCTCAACAGAAACAGAAACCAAGGATTGAGGGTGCTAAGTTAATTATCCCAGGGGGAATTGCTTGTACCCCATGTAGGTAACAGCACCCTGAACAGCCTGCAGGGCTCTCAGGTGTCTGCTCTCTTATCTGATCTTTGAGCAGCAGGCTGAGCCTGGGGGTGGGGTCCCTAGTGCCCATTTTCAAAGGCCTCCTGCCCCTGTAATTAGGAAGAGCCAGAAGCACAGCCACTGCAGGGCAGGTGTTGAGCCTGCAGGGTGAGGTCTACATACTGACCTGGGAAGAATTAATCACTGTGTGTCTTTATTGAAGTATCAGAGGGGACCTCAGAAGGGGTGGCAGGGCAGCCCAGCAAGCTGGAGTTGACAGAGTATGATGGACACTTGAGTTGGGGGATGGGAAAGCATGTCAAAATAAACACTGCTTGGAAACCAAGGGGCCAAAGGATTTCATTACCACTGCTCAACAGTATGTCCATGCTAGAGAAGTGAAGGGCACTCAGAATTGAAAGGTGTGGCAGACAAAATGCTCTAACTTCAAAGGAAGCCAGGCAGGGCCTTGGTGGTCCGCCATTTATAAATGACCGTGCTGAGTGTCCTTGACAGAGTGGGTGCTGGACGGAGAGACCTGAGCTGATTCCCAGTGATCAAGATGACTTGGGAGTGTGCCTGCCACTATGTATGCAACTGTGGTGTGTGAGTACTTGTAACTGTGAGTATTGTGATTGTGTATGTACCAGTGGATGTGTGTATCTATGACTGTGTGTTACCTGTGATTGTGTGTACCTTTGACTGTGTGGGACTACAACTGTGTGTGTCTTTTTGAGGGTGAGAGAGGAAGAACTTACATCCCAGGGCAGAGTGATATGTGGTGACTTGTGTGGGTAGTCCAAAAGCCTGGAATTGGAGAAAACCGATGGAATCAAAAGAAGAACTAGAGAATCTCACTGATTGGGGATGAGGAGTTTGCTGGTTCAAAGGTGGGAAAATCACGGCTTCTGGCCCTGGAGGCTCCCAAGAAACAGACATTTCCAAATACTGGTCAAGAGCACACATATCCAAGAACAAGTTAGACTTAATATTTTTTCATAGTTTTTGAAGTCTCTTCCTGTCAATAACTTAGGATGAGACAGAGTAAGAGGATGTTTTTAAAAAATATTTTTAAAGATGTTTGATTTCTCTCTAAAC